TCGCCACTGGGCCTCGCAAGAAGCTCTGGCGGACGCCCGCTGTCGGAATGGACCAGGGGAACTACGCTTCCTTGCTGGGCTCCCTGGGCTCTGGCGGGGGCCGGGCGCTGTTCCGCTCTTGCGGCGGCCCGCGCGCGGCAGCCTGGACTGGCAGACCGCCTCGCCCGGCGCGCTTGGGCAGCGCTTGGAGGGCTCCGACTTCTGCTCCACGGCGCGCTGCTTGCTGGACCAGGGCGCCGCCCCCGCGGAGGCGACCTGCCGCAACTGCGCCTGCGCTGCTGGGCAGCTCGCTGGCCGGCCCTGCAGCGACCCCCTCGGCGCGAAAGCCCGCCTCGCCTTGCGCTGCTCGCGCGGGGGCGGGCTCGAAGCGCGCGGCAGCGACTTGGGGGCCGCGTTGGAGCGGGTCCACGCCGGCTGCGGCTACCGCGTTGCGCGGCAGACGCCGGTGCCGGCTTGGGACCGCTGGCGCTGGCGCTGCATGGCTGCGACGCGGGCGGCGCGGTGGCGGCGCGCCTGGCGGCCGGGGCGGCTTGCGCCCACTGCGGCGCTGCCAGCTTGGCGGCGCAGCGCGAGGAGGCGATCCTCGTCGCGGTGCGCTGCGGGGTGCCGGGCGACGAGAAGGGGCTGCGAGCCGCCGCCGCGCGGGGCGGCGCCGTCGCCCGGGCCGCTGAGGCGGACAAGCGCCAGCGGTGCCCCGCCGGGCGCGCGCCCTGGCGGGTGGTGCCGGTGGCCCTGGAGATTGGCGGCCGCCGCGGCCCGGCGGCCCTGCGGCACTTGCGCCGCTTGGCGCGCGACCGGGCGCAGCTGCTGGCCGGGGGCGACGCCGCCGCGGCCGCGGCCGCGGCGTGCGCCCGGGCGCTGCGCTGGGGCGCCGAACTGGCGGTCGCGCTGCAGCCCGCCTCGGCGCGCCAGCTGCGCGCCGCGCCGGGCGCGGAAGCAGCCAGGCGGGGCGCGCGCGCGGCCCTGGCTGCCGAGCTCGCCGGCTGAGCTGGCATCGGCGCTGGGGCGCAGGGCGGCGGGCGCGTTCGGCTGCGGGTTCCTGAGGGCCGCGGGGGTGCTCATGGGGGGGGCGCGCGCAGTCGACAGACCTCGCCTTGCGGGTCGCATGAGGAGGAGGAGGAGGAGGAGGAGGAGGAGGAGGAGGAGGAGGAGGAGGAGGAGGAGGAGGAGGAGGGGAGGAGGAGGAGGAGGAGGAGGAGGGGGAGGAGGAGGAGGAGGGGAGGAGGAGGAGGGGAGGAGGAGGAGGAGGAGGAGGAGGAGGGGAGGAGGAGGAGGAGGAGGAGGAGGGGAGGAGGAGGAGGAGGAGGAGGAGGAGGAGGAGGAGGAGGAGGAGGAGGAGGAGGAGGAGGAGGAGGAGGAGGAGGAGGAGGAGGAGGAGGAGGAGGAGGAGGAGGAGGGAGGAGGAGGAGGAGGAGGAGGAGGAGGAAGGAGCAGGAGAGGAGCAGGAACAGGAAAGGAGCAGGAGCAGGGCAGGAGGAGGAGGAGGAGGAGGAGGAGGAGGAGGAGGAGGAGGAGGAGGAACAAGCTAGGTGCGCTCGCGTCATATCTGACATCCTACCCCTCCCTCCCATCCCTAACCATGGCGCAGATCCCCTCGCTACTCGCACAGTCGGATGTCGAGCAGGGCAATGATCCCGAAAGGGTGCGCGATGCATTGTGGAGCACGGCATGGCATGGCGTAGAAGAGCACCGCAAAGCGTAGTGTCAACCTGGCATTGCATTGCACGCCGTGGCATGGCACGGGAAATGACGCCAACGCTGCAGCGGGAGCACGAGTCGAAACAAGCGGAAACGCGGAAATGAGGCCAGCGCTGCAGCGGGAACACGATTCGGAACGAGCGGAAATGAGGCCAGCGCTGCAGCGGGAACACGATTCGGAACGAGCGGGGCCCGAAAATGAGGCCGGCGCCTCAGCGAGAGCAGCACTTTGAAAAAACATGCAAGCGAAAACCCAACTCCCGGGAAACCTGTGTGTAAAAAAACAGGACGCGGGGGGGGGGGGCGAACACTCCCAGCACGTCATCAGGGGAAGAGGGAGAGTAGTATTCATATTGAGTAATTGTGGAGGGGGAGGAGGAGGAGGGGGGGAGGAGGGAGAGGAGGGGGCGGAAGAGGAGGAGGAGGAGGAGGAGGAGGAGGAGGAGGAGGAGGAGGAGGAGGAGGAGGAGGAGAGGAGGAGGAGGGGGGAGGGTAGGGGTACCAGTCGTAAGTGGATGCTGGTAAGAACGGGTACTTATGTCGGCTGTCAATGTTTTCTCCATCTCTGGGCGTTCTTTGTGTGTTCATTGAAAAACAGCGGTGTGGCCATGCATGTGTCCACACGCACACAGACACATGTATATATATGTATGCACACATATAGTTATGTACACATTTATCCTACAACCGTTGTCACAACTCCCTCTCTTTTTGTTTCCCCCTCTTTGTCTCTCTCCCTCGGACCATATATTTGCATGTATGTATGTATATATACATATATATTTATATGTATATGTATATGTACATGTATATGTATATGTATTTGTATATGTATATGTATTTGTATATGTATATATATATGTACATGCATATTATATGTATATGTTTATGCATGTGTATATGCATATGTATGTGTACATGTATATGTATTGGTATTTGTATTTGTATATGTATATGTGTAGATATATGTATATGTATATGTATTTGTATATGTAAATGTATAGGCATATGTATATGTATATGTACGTGTATATGTATATGTATACGTAGTTGTGTTTGTATTGTTGTTTGTATACGTATATGTATATGATTATGGATATGTATATGCATATGTAGATGTATATGTATATGTATATGCATATGTCTATGTATATGTATATGTATATGTATAGGTCTATGCATATGTATATGTATACGTATATGTATATGTATATGTGTATCTATATGTATATGTATGTGTATATGTATATCTATACGTATATGTATATGTATATGTATATGTATATGTATATGTATATGTATATGTATATGTATATGCATATGTATATGTATACGTATATGTATATGTATACGTCTATGTATATGTATATGTATATGCATATGCACATGCATATGCATATGCATATGCATATGCATATGCATATGCATATGTATGTATGTATGTATGTATGTATGCATGCATGCATGCATGTATGTATGTGTGTATGCATGTATGTATGTGTGCATGTATATATGCATGTATGCATGTATGCATGTATGCATATATAAACACACACATATAAATATATATTCCCTTTTCTATATTTTTACAATCCGGGGGGGTGGGACCCCCCCCCCCCCCCGGGAAATCGGACCCCCGGAATCTGGCGCTTTTGGGGCCCCTTGGACGCCTGGCAAGGGGGTCCCCCGAGCCTTCCGGGCCTCCTGGACGCCCCTGGCTGGCCTTCTGCATCTCTGGACGTCCCTAATGTCCTTGCGAAGCCTCTGCAGTGGGCTAGCGGGAAGCTCACAAAACGGCCCCAGAGCCTACAAGACGCTCCAAAAGGCCTTCCAAGACGCTTCCGAAAAGGCCCCAAGAGGCCACAATTGTTGATTCCCCATGGTGTTTTTCGAAGTTTTTGGCTTTCTCGCCTTTTCGGCTTCCCGACGTTCCAAGACGGCCCAAGAGGCTCCCAAGACCGCCGCAACACGGTCCAAGAGGCCCCCTACACAGCCCCAACACGGCCCAAGCGGGCACCGAGACGACCCAAGAAGCGCCCAAGAGGGCAACAAGGCCCCGATAAAGCCTCAAAAAAGGCCCCAGCGGGCGACCAAACATCCCAAGATCTAGCTTTCCGGTCCACGAGAGCCCCAAGAAGGCCTAAGAAAACCCCAAGAGGCGCCCCAACACACCCCCACGAGGCTCCGAGAGGCTCCAATCGGCCCCCAGGAGCCCCAAAAAGACCCCATGAGGCTTCAAATCGACTCCCAAGAGGCTTCACACCAGCTTCCCAGAAAAGCCCGAGAGGCGTACCACGCGATCCCCACAGGCCCCCAAAAGGCTCCCAAGAGATACGCCCTGTTCTGCGAGTTGTTTGTGAGTTTCGTAGATGTCCTGTGGATGGTGTGTGTTCTGTGCGTGGTGTACTGTGTGTGTCTGTGTGATGCGTGTGTGTGTGTGTGTGTGTGTGTGTATGTGTGTGTGTGTGTGTGCCTCCGGCACTCGCATCTGCGATATGGTGCGCTCCCTGAGGAAAAGTGTGTGTGTGTGTGCGTTTGCGATGTTTGTGTGTGTGTGTGTGTGTGTGTGTGTGTGTGTGTGTGTGTGTGTGTGTGTGTGTGTGTGTGTGTGTGTGTGTACGTGTGTGTGTGTGTGTGTGTGTGCCGCGTCCACGGGGCCCTGGAGGCCCAAGGAGTTTCCTTGAGGCCGCAGAACCCCCCCGGAGGCTTTAGGACACCCCAGGGCCCAAGGTTCCCACGGGCCCGAAAACCCAAAACGGCCCAGAAGGCCACAGAACGCCACAGGAGACCCCCCGGAAGCCCCAGGAGGCTTTGAAGCGGGGCCTCGACACAGAGCAAGAAGGTCTGGGTTACCAAAAAGTACCAGGGGATACCTCGGGGCTCTATTTTGGGAAGATGGTTCACGCAGAAACGACATTCTCTGACGATCGGTGTCCAAAAGATGGACTTCGCAATGTGTTCTTACACGTGTCATGTTCACACTTATAAATACTATGTGGTGTTTGACCTGTCTCGCAAGATCTGCGAAAGGATTGCATTCGATTGGCATCTTTTGGAGGATGTTTTTATCGAAACGGCCGGAAAACTCAATGACGGACGCATTCATTCCCTCTGAGCTCTACTTATTCGTGGAGGTGCGTGTGATGACGCACATATGTGCACCTTTCCCCCAACATAACAGACAGCTTCAATTTCCGTAGCCATTTTGGCTCAAACACCATTGCGCCTTCAAGGGTGAAGTCGCGGTGACCACGAGGGACTCTTTTTGGGTTTCGTTCTGGCTCGTTCGCTGCGTTCGGCAGATGGTTCGCGACAGCCTGCTCAAGAAAACGCTGCGCACCGCAGATCTGCCAAGCAGCTGGCGCGCCCTGCCTCCCAGCGCGGAGCTGGTGCCAGCCATGGACGTGCACATGGCAACTCTCACTGCCGCGGAGCTCAAGGACCCGTGTGGGCATTACATTCAACCACCCTGGTGTCGTTCAACTGGGCCCCCCCCCTCCACCCCACAATTATCGACATGCACGTTCGGTTCCCTTCGGGGGGCGCGGCCTGTGCAACACCCAGGGCGACAATGACGCCAGGGTGGTTCGCAATGTGAGTCCACGCCCACATATGTGAGGCCCTCCTTCTGGCGTTGTCGACGTGGCGCGACACGTACGTGCCCGCCAGCGAGTGGAACGCGTACAACCACACGGGGTCAACCAGCACGGCTCCTTTGTACGTGAGGAGCATCGAGGGCGAGAAAGTATGTTTGGAGTGCGCTGACAAAACGGGCCGGGCTCAGACACACATGCTGAATCAGTGCCCGCAGCACGCTCGAGATAGCACGGCGCTGTTGCTCGAGTTCCTGCACTCCCCTTGCGCATTGCGCATAATTGCCGATCATGTGAACACCATCGCCGGAGCCAAGGGAGTGGTGGCGAAGCTCAACGTGGTCCTCCAGCAACACCCCGGGCACCCAGCCGACCTGATTGGCGACAGTTTCAATCCTTGGAAGCTACAGAAGAATAGACTCGCCGAGCTCCACGCAGCGAAAGCCGCGCGAGAGCTCAGAAAAATTGCCGCCAACAGCAGATGCTTCCTGAGCGCGCTCACGGAGCTCGGCCACAAAGGCGGCATGGTACAGGCCCTGTTCGCGGCGTCCGCCGAAGAGATGGAAGGGGTGCTCGCGGCGTCTCCTGGGTGGAGAAGCTTCAGAGTGAAGAATGCGTTGCGCATTCGACAGCCCTCGTCGCGGTGCCCGGATCACGGGCGGCACAAGAAAACTCCCGCGGTCGTGCTCGCAGGCAGCGGGCCGCGCCGCGTGGTGTCCCAGCGATTGGGCACCACGGTGTGGGCAACCGGGAAACGCGGACGACCGGTTCGCAAGGTTGCCGTGCTTCACGCCCAGAACGCCGCCGCCATCCAGCTGTGGACCGTCCTGATCCGGCAAGCTGGAGCCGCGCGCGTGAAGGCTTTCCAGGAGCACAAAGCCGCGACTCTTGCTAAGTTCAACCACGACGTGGCGCGGCGGGTGTACTCATTCTGTGAGCAGGCCACCCTCGCGGATTACGGCGCGCAGTTCGCCTTTTGCGAAGAGTCGCAATTGCTGGCTCGGCTCGGGGGCGCTGCAGCAGAAGAGGGCGCAGAGGCTGGGAGTGACTGGGAGAACGTGGCAGCCGGCGACGAGCACGAGGTCGACGATGCCGCTGCTGCTGGCGGCGCCTGACGGCCGACCGCGTAATTCGGAACGCAAGCGCGCTGGGGCGGAAACAGACTTCCTCCCCCTGACACCTCCTGCTGCTGGCCTCAGACTCGATTCCCGGTAACGAGAGACAGCGCACATGTGTGCGTCGCAACAATATTCGGGAAATCCGTTGTGAACTTGGGATTCGGTGAACTTCCCGAGAAGATCGCACGTCGACGTTTGAGGCTCGAGGTTCGCAGGGCAAGAGTCGAGAGAGGAAGGCGCATATCACGGTTCGCAGCTCGACACTTCAGGTTTTGCTGTGATTTTCTATTCTTTCGGGGCCTCCGCTCTCTCGCCGCCACGTTGCAGGGGCCCCTTCAAAATTCAGTTCCAAACGCAATCCTAAATGAGCTTGCCGCGCTTCAAGGCCAACGTGGATGAGGCGAGCAGGCATTTATGCTCGATTCGAAGGACCAAGGTGCATGGCGCGAAGCGCCAATGCAGTCTTGTATATATATATATATATATATATATATGGGTCCTGCCGTATCCCCGCCCCCCTGACAAGTTGAGCAGAGGGGGCCGATTGTCCAGGGTCCTCTTCCTCCTCGTCCTCCTCCTGCTCCTCCTCCTCCTCCTCCTCCTTCTCCTCCTCCTCCTCCTCCCAATCAGATTCCCCTTATCGAAGGCGGAACCAAGCAAAACCATAGGAAACCCTCGTCGTCGTCCTCGTCGTCGTCGTCGTCGTCGTCTTCCTCCTCTGTCTTGCCATTGTTCTGAAGAGAGTCTGCATCCGTGGCATCCAGGCAAGGGGCGAGCGAAAAACAACAACGGCAAGGAAAAAACAAAAAAACCTAAGGGAAAACGAAAAAAACCAAAGAGATCAAAGGCAGACCGCCGAAAAACCAAAAAACACCTAAGGAAAAACAGAACAAAACACAAACAAACAAAATATTTCAATACTTTCTCTTGGGGGCGCGGGGGTGGACGAAACACTCTTTTTTTTTTGGGGGGGGGGGGGGTCCTTAAGTTTTTTTTTTGTTGGGTATTTCGGTGGTGTGCCTTTGATTTCTTTTTTTTTTGGTTTTTCCTCAGGTTTCTTCGGTTTTTTTCACCCCCCTCCGCCAGGCCCCCGTGGGGGGCGGACGGCTCCGGACGCTCCCAGGAAGCCCCAGGACACCCCTGGAGGCACCAGAGAGGCACCAGGGAGGCCCCAGAGATGTCCCAGAGACGCTCCTGCAGAGGACCCAAAAGGGAACCCAGCAAGGGACCCAGGAGGAAACCCAGGAGGGAACCCAGGAAGGGACCCAGGAGGGAACCCACGAGGGTACCCAGGAGAGAACCCAGGAGGGGACCCAAGAAGGAACCCAGGAGGGGACCCAAAAGGGAACCGAGCAAGGGACCCAGGAGGAGACCCAGGAGGGAACCCAGGAAGGGACCCAGGACGGAACCCACGAGGGTACCCAGGAGAGAACCCAGGAGGGGACCCAAGAAGGAACCCAGGAGGGGACCCAGGAGGGAACCCGGGAAGGGACCCAGGAGGGAACCCAAAAAACAGGTTACGATCACTGTGCCCGAACACAAGGCCACATGGTTGCACGCATGTTACGCAAGGACACCGGCAACGGCTCAGCATCAGTGGTGATACCACACAACAAACCAAAACTTCAACACTGCCTGGGTCCCTTCCTGGGTTCCCTCCTGGGTCTCCTCCTGGGTCCCTTGCTGGGTTCCCTTTTGGGTCCTCTGCAGGAGCGTCTCTGGGACATCTCTGGGGCCTCCCTGGTGCCTCTCTGGTGCCTCCAGGGGTGTCCTGGGGCTTCCTGGGAGCGTCCGGAGCCGTCCGCCCCCCACGGGGGCCTGGCGGAGGGGGGTGAAAAACCGAAGAAGCCGCATGAAAAACCAACAAAAAACAAAGAAATCAAAGGCAGACCACCGAAATACCAAAAAAAACTTAAGGAAAAACCGAACAAACCAAAAAAAACAAGATTTCAGTGCTTCGTCCACCCCCGCGCCCCCAAGAGAAAATATTGAATATTTTTTTTTTGGGTTTTTTTTTTTTTTTTTTTTTTTTTTTTTTTTTTTTTTTTTTTTTTTTTTTTTTTTTTTTTTTTTTTTTTTTTTTTTTTTTTTTTGGTTTTTCGGTGGTCTGCCTTTGATTTCTTTGTTTTTTTTGGGGGTTTTTCCTTAGGTTTTTTTTTGTTTTTCCTTGCCGTTGTTGTTTTTCGCTCGCCCCTAGCCTGGATGCCACGGATGCAGACTCTCTTCAGAACAATGGCAAGACAGAGGAGGAAGACGACGACGACGACGAGGACGACGACGAGGGTTTCCTATGGTTTTGCTTGGTTCCGCCTTCGATAGGGGAATCTGATTGGGAGGAGGAGTAGGAGGAGAAGGAGGAGGAGGAGGAGGAGGAGGAGGAGGAGGAGGAGGAGGAGGAGGAGGAGGAGGAGGAGCAGGAGGAGGACGAGGAGGAAGAGGACCCTGGACAATCGGCCCCTCTGCTCAGTTTGTCAGGGGGGCGGGGATACGGCAGGGGCTCTGCCGTATCCCCGCCCCCCTGAAAAACTGAGCAGAGGGGGCCGATTGTCCAGGGTCCTCTTCCTCCTCGTCCTCCTCCTGCTCCTCCTCCTCCTCCTCCTCCTCCTCCTTCTCCTCCTCCTCCTTCTCCTCCCAATCAGATTCCCTTATCGAAGGCGGAACCAAGCAAAACCATAGGAAACCCTCGTCGTCGTCCTCGTCGTCGTCGTCGTCGTCTTCCTCCTCTGTCTTGCCATTGTTCTGAAGAGAGTCTGCATCCGTGGCATCCAGGCAAGGGGCGAGCGAAAAACAACAACGGCAAGGAAAAACCCAAAAAACCTAAGGAAAAACCAAAAAAACCAAAGAAATCAAAGGCAGACCACCGAACAACCAAAAACACCTAAGGAAAAACAGAAAAAACAAAAAAAACAAAGATTTCAATACTTTCTCTTGGGGGCGCGGGGGTGGACGAAACACTGATTTTTTTTTTTGGTTTTTCCTTAGGTTTTTTTGGGTATTTCGGTGGTCTGCCTTTGATTTCTTTGTTTTTTTTTGTTTTTCCTTCGGTTTCTTTGGTTTTTCACCCCCCTCCGCCAGGCCCCCGTGGGGGGCGGACGGCTCCGGACGCTCCCAGGAGGCCCCAGGACACCCCTGGAGGCACCAGAGAGGCACCAGGGAGGCCCCAGAGATGTCCCAGAGACGCTCCTGCAGAGGACCCAAAAGGGAAACCCAGCAAGGGACCCAGGAGGAGACCCAGGAGGGAACCCAGGAAGGGACCCAGGCAGTGTTGAAGTTTTGGTTTGTTGTGTGGTATCGCCACTGATGCTGAGCCGTTGCTGGTGTCCTTGCGTAACATGCGTGCAACCATGTGGCCTTGTGTTCGGGCACAGTGATCGTAACCTGTTTTTTGGGTTCCCTCCTGGGTCCCTTCCTGGGTTCCCTCCTGGGTCCCTCCGGGTTTCTCTCCTGGCCGGAGGCCACCCATATATAGATATATATATATATTATATATATATTATTATATATATTATATATATATATATATATATTGTGGTGGCCTCCGGCCAGCGCCGCCGATCCGGGGCGCTCCTGATGCTATTGTTGTTGACATGGGCGATGACGATCACAACGGACGACCAACGGTCGACGAGCGGGATAATTACGACGACGACAGACGAAGGAGTTAATGGCGACGAACCGACGACGACGACGACGACAACGACGACGACGACGACGACGACGACGACGACGACGACGGCGACGACGACGACGACGACGACGACGACGACGACGACTGACGGCGAACGGCTGCCGACGGCCGACGACCGACGACTGGTGACGGCGACGGGTGGAAGGTTCTTCGTTCATCGCTTTCGCTTCCGAGCAATGCCAAGTCAGGCCGTGCACCTCTGGCCTGGCAGCACGCGAGTGAGCGCCTCTTGGGGCCTCTTGGTTCTTGGGGCTTCTTAGGGGCCTTTGGGGCCTCTTGGGGGCCTCTCGGGGTCCTCTTGTGCGCCTCTTGGGGACCTCTTGGGGGCCTCTGGGGGCCCCTCGGGGGCGCCTCGGGGGCATCTTGGGGGCTCTTGGGGTCATCTTGGGGTGGGGGACCAGAAGGGTCCATTCGGGTTCGCCCTCTTGAGGCCATCTTGGGGGGCCTCCAGTGCTATATTGGGGCCCTCTTGGACCGTCTTGGCTCCTCTTGGGGGCCTCGTGGGCTGTCTTGGGGCGATCTTGGGGGCCTCTTGGACCGTCTTCGGCGCTTCCAAGACGAAAAAGACGATAAGGTTAAAATGTTCAAAAACCTATTAGCAACTTCTTTATTGTACCCTCTTGGGGCCCTCTTTGGGGTCCTCTTGGGATCTCCTTGATGCGTCTTGGAGGCCTTTTGGGCCGTCTTCAGGCCATCTTGGGCGTCCAGGAGCGCTCTTGGGCCGTTTCGGGCGCCTCCTGGACCGTCCTGGTGGCCTTCTGGGCCCCTTTTGGCCCGTCTTGGGGCGGTTTGGGATTCCCGGGGGGGGGAAAGAAAGCGTGGACCCGATGACCCCCCCCCCTCCCCCCCTACCCCGGCAGAGCCCCCCCGGCCCCCCCCCCCAGCAGAGCTGAAGTTTTTTTTGTTTTTTTTTTTTTTGTTTCTTCCCTCTCTCGCTTTTATGTGTATATTATATATATATATATATATGAATACTGTTTGTGAATATATATAATATATATATATAATTATTTATATATATTCAGTAATTACCCTCTCTTCCCCTTTTTTTTTTTTTTTTGGCTCGCTGTTTAGCTCTGCTCGCTACCCTCGGACATGTTTGTTCAATTATACTACAGTTTGTGCGCCCTCTTAACCTGGCCATGATCGCATGGCCTTGGGGTACCTGGCCACAAACCAAGAGTCGAGACCCAGGAACCTTACCGAGACGGGATCCCTGGACTCGGAATGTGGACCCTGGGAACCTGGCCTCCTACCAGAATCGGCCCGGAACCCGGAACTTGGAACCAGGGGAACTAGCCGCCTACCG